GTCACAGTCTCCTTTCGATGGATAGAAATGATCCGATCTCATTTGGCCAAATTGCTAGAATTGTCAGGGGAACCTAGTTGGACGCACCTTGTTCTCTGCTATAGTAAATATCATAATTCCCAAAGTTGGACCGTGGACTTGGCACATTCCCAGATATTTCGCCGGCATTTGATCCTGCCTTTCTTTGCATCAAAATAGGCGCTCTGTTCAGTGAGACGACAATGTACGAGCTACTAGTGGCTTGAGAAATAGTGCTTTGAGTAAAACCTATACAGGGACTAGAACCGGGTGAAATCAGTCAACCGGTAAGATAAGAAACGAATCTACGGACCCATGAGGGAGGTTCGGAAGGGAAGACTGAATCGGATCAGTAAACAATAGGTGTGTTGACGCCACACCAAACTCACCACAAAGGGCACACTTCCAGAGAAGTCGAACATAAACAAGTCAGAAGTTGTAATAAAGCGCGAGTGAGATATGAGTGTAGGGAGTAGTTAAATATGCCAGGACAAAAAGAGGAGTGATAGTACAAACGTTCGACAGAAAGTTGGTCAAGGGTTTGACTTCACTTTTCCACTTTACAAGTTATAGCTTGGTGGTGAGAGTGGCAAGGCTCATTGAATACTCTGGCGAAACGTCTGATAATGTACCAAGATCCTAGTCAAACACTGGAAATTATGATAACTACTATGGCAGATGACTTCGAACGAGGTGCATTCAACCTCGTCTTCCTGAAAACACGACCAAGGTGGGAAAACGAGGTCAGACCACTTCGATATGAATAAGCTTCTTATTAAGGGTGGACTAGTTTTGACCTCGCCTGGATCTCATCAACACCCCAACCGAAAATAGAACCTGGCTAGTGCAGACTATAAGTTTGACATGTCACCCTTACGCCACACCATTCAAGTACCATTGTGTCAGGGGGCATACGTGACTTACAAGGCAAGTCAGACCTCCCCCATGGCACATTTTATTTCGTAATTATTAATGAGGCAAACTTGAATTTTGTCATTAACCATACCGCTGCTACTTATTCGCGGAGACAAGGAGTGGATATTTTGGATCTTTCATAGATCTGAAGATAAAACCGAATCTCTAAGACTTCTAAAACAACCTCATGATTTGAAATTGTTTGACCTTGTTTTCCTAACTTGGCCGTATCGATAGAAAGACCGAGATGAACGCCTTTGTCCTGAGTCCATAGTATGCATTATAACTTCCAGAGTCGGATCGTGGAGTTGGTACATTCACAGACGTATCGCCGGCATCGTCAGTGGGCCTTGCCATCCTTTGATCAATTGTCTACTAAGCAATTGTGGTATCTATCCATCTGTCTTGGGGTATTCACCTATCCTATATCCTCTTACCACTTATTCAATATCACACATTTTACCTGTTTATGTAAACCTAGTTGGGATATGCCCTTTTGACCGGGTTTAGTGAGACCTATTCATACTCCATACTGGTTCCCTCACCCCGCACTTATGCTAGGAGTATGATCCAGGATCCTTAATATCCCTCCACTCCATTGCTGCCACCCTATCCGTGCTACTCGAGGCATTATGTGCCACACTCTGCATCAAACTTTTGATAGCATATATACTCTATCATCACTGAACAAGCCCCTAAAGTCTAGAGTATCAACTAGCATGGAGACCTAACTTGACGCTGCAGATTCCCTCGTTACTGTGCCGCATGGGCACCGAGTAAATTTCGTAGTCAAGTCTTCACTTCATGGTCCACGTTTATGATTAAACTTGTCTACTGATAGTCAATTATCAATGGTCTCTGCCGTACCACTCGCTTTTCTATTCCTAAAGCTAAGTCTGACTTTCTTTTGCCCTAGTGGGACAGTTCTAGTTGATTCGAATATGCTTACTGTAGACGTCGTTGATCCATTCGTATTTTTTTTGGTGATATTGCTGTTCACTGATTTCCTCAGAGTTTACTTAGTATGCAAAGTTTTCGCTAGACCCATCTTCTTCAAATATCCTGTTTATTAGATATCCTTCCGTCATGATTTACAGTTGATCTCATGTTCCGTCGGTGCAATATGTTCCGCTATTTCGGATCTTTCCGAATACATGCTTCTATAGAGTCTTTGGTGTTCCTTGATTCGTATACCGATCTTTCTTGCTGTTTCTCAAATATACTTCTGCTCGCAGTTGCCACATTTTATGCGATAAACTCCCGAGTAATCCAGTTGGTCAACCTTCTCGCGTTACGCCGGCCGGCTGGTAAAGAGTATTGACTTCTTTATTATCACATTGATATTCCACTTTCTCAAGCCACACCATATTAATCTGCATACCATCGATTGACCTCATGTTGTTGTGATTCGACAATTCATCCCAGAGGAAAAGTTGTCTTGAATGTAATCATTAAGTGCCTTGGATGATGCGAATAACTCATCGGCTCATCGTCCTAAAGTCGCTATCAATTCCTTATTTGTCTTCCCGTGATACTGTTTCACAAATTTCTTCAAAACAAATAGTCATGCTAAAAAAAATCACTAAGGCATTCTTCGAATGTCCGACTGACATCGTCCGAATGAGCAATTACTATTTATGAAAAAAACAGTAATCCCACACGCAGAAATCATACTTCATATACCTAATTTTGCTTTCCTACCAAAGCTTCTCATGAGTTTGCTGACTTATCTATGCTTAGCTTACATTCTTGCAGCTGAGTGAAGTTGAGGCATGCAAAGGCAGTGAAGCTAGCCATAAATGCTGCCTGCCTAAATAATAAATCAATGTTTACTTTTGCAATAATAAGACAAGAAATTCTGCACTATGGATACTTTATCACTTTAACAATGCCTGTCGAATTACAAATATGAACTCAACACAACAATATCAGAGCCACAGGACGGTGAGCCTAGGATTTCTTTACACAATTCAATAGTCTTAACTCCTCAAAAACAATGTTCCTACGGTTTCCGGCGAGACTAATTTACAAACCACCACCACCACCCACCAGTTTTTCCTTTTAAATGAAAAGTAATGTTAAAATAAATCACTAAGAAATTCTTCAGAACCTGGATATGTTAGAACCAAAACCAGACTTCAGATTGAGCAAGTCTTATCTTACTCAGTGGCTCCTTCTGCTCTATCTCTCACTCTTCATCTATTTATCTATCCATCTTTCCCTACTTCTATCAAATAGCCAGGAGAGTTTTGCTCCATTTCCTGCCCTCCTACTGCCCATTAAGGAGGTTGCTTGCTTGGTGATTTCTACCAACTCTCAAATATTCCGCTTAGGCGTGAAGTCTTCATTACCTGCAAAATGGTGGGTAATAGAAAAC